CCGGCCAAGATGAGGATTGTGATCACTGGTCATTTCCATGTGGCCTTAGCGATACAAGAGCTCTGCTAAGTTAGTTGGAAGGTTAACCTTGACTGAGGTCACAGGTCGGGTTGCAGTCCTTAAGTGAGCACACAATTCAGACTTGATCCCAGCCCTTTTTCTGGTAGACTCGATGACTCTGTCTTGGTGATGGTCTGGGTGAGGCCAGCAGGGCTTCCCGGGGACCACAGGCCTGGGGACCTAAGTCATAGCTGAGCCTTTGCTAGGTAGGGCAGGCCACTCAACCAAATGGGGGTAATCCTGGCCTTCCAGGAGGTAGTGTGTGAAAGGATGTGAGATCGTTACGACAGGTACAGAGATGCTAACAGAACAGAGCTCCTGATTAAAGGCATCTGCTGAGCTTGAATTGAAGGAATACTCTGTTACCAGGAAACTTGGAGGAATTTTGGATTCTGGTGTTAAAACTTCAAGAATCGAGGTTGCTCAGAAAGCTCTGTGAGGTCATTTGCAGGGAAATGTCATGGATCCTTTTACATAATTTTAAGAAAACCTTCCTTAACCTTTCAAAGCAGCGGGAACTTGATGTGTGCTGCTGAGTGCAGCCCCAAGAGGAACTTCCGTGGTGACATAGCTAACTTTTCAGCGAGGGTCAGAATCCCCATGGGTGGCCCACGGAGGGCCGAGCTCATGATTCTTACCCTGGATGCATGACTCAAGAACTGTGCATAATGGACACAAAGGCCACACTGTCACATTTTCCCTGCAGGGAAAGGAGGACAAAAGAAGGGGTGTGCCTGCGTGTGATATGTATGCATGTGTGTATGTGGAGGCAATGGGGGACAGCTTGTAGATGAGCTGGTTTATTCTGTAAGACTCGAACCTCCTGTTTGTTCTTCTGATGGAGCTAGTCGGAAACGGTCCCCTCTGATTCGGTAGGGGCTGAATCCCGCCAAAGGGTTCACCAGCACTTGCCCTTCAGGAGACGAGTGTGCAGGGCCAGCTCGGCTGAGTGAAGCCCTTGATGGAGACCGGGCTCAGCCAGACGGGGGCCCGTTGGCTGGAGTCTGAAAGCCTGGCACTCGTATCCAGAGATGAATGGCCTGGCCGGGTCCGACTGGAGACTCACATCTCGTATCTCCACTGTTACAGTGTAGGTTCAGGAGGGGTTCTGGCCTTTGACTGGGCTCACTGTGCCACGAGAGCTGACAGCTCCCGGGTGTGTCTCACGGAACTAGCTTAGGAGGGCAGCCAGCGCGGCATCTCTCCTGCACCCAGGTAGGAAAATCTGACCCTAAGAGTGGGCAAGAGAAAGGAAGGTAAATGGATGCTCCTATTGACATTAAAATACCATATTTTTATGCTGTTGCTTCAGAGATATTTAGAGAGATTTTGTAGTTTGGGTTTTGGGGTTTGTTTTTTTTTTGGTGATTTAATCATTCTATAGAGTAAATATCTATAAAATTCCAATTAAATGGTGTCTAAAATTTAAAGCAGCAGTCTACAGGCAAAGCGCCAACATTTCTTTTTTTAAAAGATATTTATGATACCATCTAGCATTTAAAAATCAACCAGAAACTAGGCTTGATTCTGTTTAATATTTTATATGATTGGACATCTTAAATCAAAAATGTTTCTATTTTATAGCATTTCTGTGTTTATTCAAAACCATAATTCTACTGTGATGTTAATGGAATGACTTTATACCGCTTTAATTGTGTTGGTTTAAGTGCTAATGACCACATTTCAGATTAAAGTAGTATTTTGCTGATAGAGGTAGACACAGATAATGAAAAATGAAAGAATAGCTCATTTTACTGATTGTAAAGTGTTTATTTCAAGGAAAAAAATGTTCTTTTTCTTAGGGCTGTGGAAAAAAGTAATTTTTTCAAGAGTTTAAGATAGTTTTCTGAGATCAGAACTCGTGCCTATGGAAATTTTGGAGCAGCCTAAGCTACCTTTTAGCTTGATATGTGTGCTAGAAAAATTTCATTATTATGTTTTGTGATATGTAATAAATTCAGGGTGCTGTGTTTAAGCTTCATTTCAGTTCAAGTTTGGAAACCTCTTTTTCCCTCTTTCCCAGACATGGCAGACAACCTACTCCTGACACCCCACTTCTGGCTCTCCCCCCCAGCAGACACCCCACCCCTGACACCCCCTCAGCAGACACTGCACTCCTGGCACCACCACCCCCACCCCCTGCAGACACCCTACCCACCCCTGCTACCACCCCTCTGCACCTCCTCCCCCTGCCCCCACCACCCCATCCTTCCTCAGATCCCGTGTGAAAGATTCAGGTCAATCCCTGACTCTTAGAAGATGTGTTTCTTCTTGCGTGGAGCGAGCAAAACATAACCATGATTTCTAAACCTCTGCTTTTGTGTCAAGGAAGTGTGATGCTTTTTATCCTCCTCTGATGTCTCTTTAATAAATACGTTGTCATTCTTTGTCCTCAGAAGGGGCCTCTTGAGCTGCCTCTCAGTTTTCTCCATGATTTATGTTGCACACAAATTCTATGTCCTGTGTCTGTTCACCGCACTCTCCTGATCTTGTGTACCATTGGAGACCTGCTGGAGACCGTTTTTGTTTTTCTTATGCAATTATGTTATATGTGTATTTCAGTGAAATGTCAACCCGCCAACAGAGGATGATGTTAAAAATTATCCAAATAAATAGTTTTCTATTTCTTTTAATCAGACCTAGTCCAAATTGTTGAATGACAGTGAGTAGGATTATGTGGGTTTGTTTTTTTTTTCCCAAACTCAGGAGTATTCCAAGCCCTTGGTGCCTCGTGACATGAGTTCATATATATAATTTACCTGGGGGCGTTGACTTAGTGCTTTGTCACCTATGTTTATCTTATAGACACAGCAGCAGATGTCTCAAACCTGGTCTTTCATTGGGAGCCTCAGATCTATGGCCGGCCTTTCCTCCCAGTGATCCAAAGCCAGATAATGAAACCCTGGCTTAGCTAATCTTCCCTTGATGGTTGTGCTCTGGAAAACACTGAATGAATGAGCTGCAGACTATTGGACACCGCAGGGCTGGACCTTGCTGCACAGACCCGCAGCTCTGTGTGAAAGAGCTCTCCCCCACTGGATGTTAGTGTTGCCTTCTCGATGTTTACAAGAGAAGGGCAAGTAGGTCCACGTCCAAGCCAGATGATTCCCCTGGCTCAGATGTGCCAGTCTTGGGCATCCTGAGATAGGGAAAGTGTGTGTGTGTGTGCGCGCACACCTACATGAGTGTGTATGTGTATGCTTGTGCACGTGCAGCTCGTGCCTGTGGTCAGAGGGACGGGAAAGTAAGAGGTAGCTGCTGACCATACCCCGAACTATTCTGGATTTGGTGGCAGGACATGTTTGTCTTTCCTCAACAAAACCACAGCATTCCTAGCCAGGAACCTGAGAGTTGTGAATCCAGGCAGCTCTTGCATACCCACAATTCATGAAATGGAAAGATCCCCCCCACCCCCGCACCTGCTCCTCTATTCAAAGAATAGACCTAGTCTGGTGTACTGTTTTTAACAGCATTGTCTCCTAAGGAGGAGGAGGCTGCTTTCACAGGAGCCTCTTAGGAAGTTCCTGTAGGAGTTCACTTTCTAAATTACCATCACCACCACTGGCATCTGCAGAAGACCAGTTGTGAGCTTTCCCACACCAGGGGGGCCAGCCCTGTGGGACCTGGCCAGACCACGGCCACCATCCCCACTCTCCCCGCCCCTCCCCACTCCCCACTGCTGGGGATTGTGAAGGAAGGGCTGGGACATGATCCCCTCCCCTGACGCCTGCCTCCAGGCCCAGTTATCCCCTGCATCTTCGTGACGGAGTGTGAACTACAGATCAGCCCTGTGCAGCCGGGGTTCAGATAGTCTCCGCTGTGGCTGCTGAGGTGCAGAAGGACTGCCCGCAAATGGGAGGGTCCTGCCCAGATTGAGGATGGGGGGCTTAAGCCTGGTGGCAGGGAGGAAATACCTCTTTCAGGTGCCAGTCTTTTTGTGGAAAAGGGTAAAGTGGCTGTAGTGTCCCTATCAGTCTTTAAGTCAGCATGCTATTTTTCTTCAAGTTGATGGTCAGAACAGAACTGTCTCAGAGCCAGCAACTCCACCTCTGCCTGTGTAGCAGAAGCCTCTCTGATGTTTCCCCAACAAAGCTGGGGACAACGGAAGGGCTTCTCCCAGGCCCTGTTCTGGTGGAACCTTAGGCCCAGTGTAAATAAGGTCAACGACGAGGGTCTCGGGCAAAGGACTATGTGTGCGAGGGGCCAGGAGGGGTCATCCCGCACAGCCTCCAGAGGCTGGTGAGCCCTTTCCAGTGTGCTGTGGTCTTCAAGAAGATGATCCAGCTGTTGGCAAGTTGTTGGCCTGACCCCGGGTTCCAGGCCAGGGCACCACGGATGGCCACGGTGGCTGGCGCTGCACAGCGGCCTGGGTCTGTGTGCATGTCGACCCATTCCGTCATGGTCCTGAATGTGCTGGTGATTGCAGTGTGTGCTCTCACGCCCTCGTTCCCATGGCTTTTTTGCAGAACGGGTGGCCCTGCTGGCTGCTTGGTCTCCTTGCCCCTTCACACTCGTACTTAGGTCATGGCGAGTGAATCCTGGCCACCCTCTCTATAGAGTGGCCCGGGCTGTGCTCCTGGCCCCCTCTGGGGCTCTGTCAGAGGACTCTGCAGGCCCTCCTTCTGTAGACTGTCATTTAGATGTGGTCATGTGCTCTTGGCCACGGCAGACACTGTCCCTGCAAGCTGGGTTCCATGAGAAGGAGGTGACTGGGTCGGAGCCTCAAGTCTAGGACCGTTTGGAACTCCTGACCATACCCTTCAACCCTGGGGCTTCGAGGACCCTTCAGTTACATTCACACGAGTAGTCACTCCTGTGGGTTGCCCTTTGGAGAAACCTTCCCTTGCCAGAGCTGAACCAGGCAGGAACAGAGCCAGGACCCAGGCCGGGCCCAGCGCACCCACATTGTCTAATCCGTTTTGCCATTTTTGTTGATCTAGGCAGGATTAAGGACACTGCATGACATTGGGCCAGAAATCCGGCGTGCTATATCATGTGATTTGCAAGATGACGAGCCGGAGGAAACAAAACGAGAAGAAGAAGAAGATGTATTCAAAGTAATTATTCCACGCCTAGCTACACACTGGCCACTTGGAGATAGCGGGGCAGGACTTCACTTTGGGGAGTCGGTGATCCCCAAAAGAACCTGGAGAATGCACGCCAGCCCCCGGGCCTAGAGGGGCTCACGGACCATGCTTTCCCCACAGCAGACCTTCGGCACCTCCTCTAGGGCCAGGCCTGCTTCCGTCCTGAGCTGGCCACTCTGTCCCATGCTGGCAGCTTCAGAGGAGTCTGGCCGCAGCCGCTTGGCCAGTGTGGCTGAGCTTCCTGGGTCCTGCTAGCAGCTGCCTGCCTGTGTGACCCCCTTCTTCCCTGGGCCGGTCCTCAGCCCCCCCAGCCCAGAGAGCATGCCTTCTGTCCAGCCTCAACCGCTGGGGGCTGCCAGCTGGCGCTGCTGGCTATAAGTCACCTCAACCTGGAACGACGGGAAGAGCACACTTGTGTGACAGCCAAGAGCTTGCTCCCCAGCTCAGGGATTGGGAACCTTCCTCATTTCAGGGGGGCCAGCTGCCACACAGACACATCGGCCTGATCTGTGAGACACTCAGATTGCTTTACAGGGATCCTACGGAGCTTACCTAGCGTTTGTGTTTCGTGTAGAAAAAAATTACCTAACAAAGCTAGCCTGCATCAAATACTTGTTAAATTACCTGGTGTTGTCTCCCATTATTTTGCAGAGAAATGGTGCCCTGCTTGGAAACCATGTCAATCATGTTAATAGTGATAGGAGAGACCCCCTTCAGCAGACCAATACCACCCACCGTCCCCTGCATGTCCAAAGGCCTTCAGTTCCACCTGCAAGTGATACTGAGAGACCGCTGTTTCCTCCAGCAGGAAATTCGGGGTGTCCTAGCCATCATAACCATAATTCCATAGGAAAGCAAGCTCCCAGCTCAACAAATGCCAATCTCAATAATGCTAATATGTCCAACGCTGCCCCTGGGAGGCGGCCCAGCCTTGGGAACCTTGAGCATGTGTCTGAAAATGGGCGTCGCTCCTCCCACAAGCATGATCGGGAGCCTCAAAGAAGGTCCAGTATTAAAAGGTAACCTTTAAAGTGTGTTTGCACCTGGTGATACAGCGTCTGCCCCAGGTGCTGCTTTCTCCCCTGTGCCCTGGCGCACACACGGGAGATGCGCAGGGGGCCTGGGCACTCGAACCTGTGAGTGCCGGGAGCCAGTGATGAACCCGAAGGATAAAGGGCCACCAGCCACCCTGTGTCCTGCCAAAGGTGTTGGCCTTTAGGACAGCATCAGTTGCTGTAAACTCTACCTTCCCCAGTGGTGACCACATACTTTGGGACAGGGGCTGGCAACCGTTGAAAAGGGCCAGAGGGTAAATACTTTAAGCTTTGGGCACCATACAGGCTCCACTGAAGCAACTGAGCCCTGCTGTTGTAGAGGGAAAGCTGTCCTAGATGCTGTGTAGGCACGTGAGTGTGTCTGTGTCCCAAGAAAACTTTATGGACACTGCAGTGTGAACTTCCCAAGGTCACATGCGATGAAGTATTTTTCTTCCTTTGATTTTTTTCTTTGCAGCCCTTTTAGAGCGTAAGAACTGTTGGTAGCTCATGGACCATATATGGTCTGTAAACCATAGTTTGCTGACCTCTGCACTAGGAACTAGCCTGATAATCTGCATCTCAAATTTCACTGGCAATGTTTAACCTTTATCTTCTCCCTCCCTCCCTCCCGTGTTATGCCTTTCCTGGATAGAACCCGCTATTATGAAACTTACATTAGGTATGTGCTCATCACATGTGTGTATGCATCGCATGCTCTGTGTTGTGAGTGTAACCCGCGGGCCTCTCAGTGCTGAGGGCTGAGAACTCCCTTTGAGGCGACAGCCTGATAGGATAGTGGAGCTTGGGCTGTGGACTCCAGAGGCAGAGGGATTGCTTTTTCCTTCCTTCCTTCCACCTTCCCCTTCCCTCCCCTCCCTTCTGCTCCTTCCCCTCCCCTCTTTCTCTCATTTTTTAAGATTTCGTTATTTTATTTTAGAGAGAAAGAGCATGTGCAAGCCAGGGGGAGAGGGAGAGAAACTCAAGCAGATTCTTTCTTGAGCACAGAGCCCAACTCAGGGCTCTGCCTCACGACCCTGAGATCATGACCTGAGCGGAAACCAAGAGTCAGATGCTCAACCAGCTGTGCCACCCAGGCGGCCCAGTAGTTGATTCTTTCTAAGCAAAGGAGCTTTTCGGTTCCTCTGTGCATAGACTGTGTCATCCTCCAAGGACTGGTGTTCACACGCTCATGTGCCCATGGGCTCGCCCCTGCGCGCCTCGTGACCTCCATGTAGGGAGACTCCACGGCACACTTCTGGGCGCCTGGCCCGGGAGGCTGGTCCTGCCTGCTGCTGGCTGGGTTCAAGCCTCTTGTCGGGGCTTCATAAAAGTGTGACCCCAACTTCCTGAAGACTGGAGACCGGGTCTTCTCCTTTGTCTCCCGTGTAGCCCTCAACATTCGTGCACTGAGTCCTGCTGTATGTTTGCTGGACCAGGTTGAATTGTCAGTGGGACGATCATTTGGTTGGGGACGGAGAGGCGGGTCTCTTGGTTTAATTGTAGCAAGTGTAGTCAGCTGCTCAGTGGCAACTTGAGAGAACGAAGAACTTGGAGGGAACACAGTCCTCTCTCTTGGGAGAGAGTCAGTGTGACGGAGCCTGGCTGGTTTTCCTGAGGACTGAGGCCAGGATAGCAGCTTTCAGGGAGCTAGCACGACAGTCTTGTCACGTGGGCAGGGCTGTCTTCGAAAACCTGGCAGGTGTCACCCTTGTGAGTCTCCCCGGGGACACTATCCCAAACTCCTGTCGCATCTCCTGGGTCAGAGTTAGTGGGAGACTGGTCAGAGAGCCTCTTTGTTCTGGACCCTGAAGTCACATGGGCCAGAGAAGAAAGGAGCAGGGATCAGAGTAGCTGGCCTGGGAGCTCAGTGTCTTCTCCCCGTGACTGCTGATTGCTGCAGGCCTCTAGGTCCATTTGCTTATTCTGTTCTCCAAATGACACCCACTCCTTTGGCTCCATGGCCCCTGGGCACAGTGGTTTGGCATGGGCACTGTGCAAGTTACTGGGAGAGCGACCCCCTCCCAGCACACGCACATGCTCACACAGCGCTGCCGCCAGAGGCCTAACAGTCCAGTCCCAGGTACACCAGGGAGGAGCCAGGGGCTCGTGGGGCAGGGGTGCTAGCCACGCACTGAGGCCCAGCTGGATGCTCAGGTCCTCGGGCCTTCTCTCACCACTGCAGGTCTGACTCAGGGGATGAGCAGTTCCCCACTATCTGCCGGGAAGATCCGGAGATCTGTGGCTACTTCAGGGACTCCCGCTGCCTGGAGGAGCAGGAGTATTTCAGCGGGGAGGAGGGCTATGAGGATGCCGGCTCACCAACCGGGAGCAGGTGAGCGGCTCTGCGGCTCGGGCTGACATCAGGAGGCCTGGCGGTCTCCTGCCCCTCGCACTCTGCAGCAGGGGCCCGCCAATACCACACCTGGGCTGCCTCAGAGGCAGGCAGAGTGGGGGCTGCCTTTTTAGACCAGCTTCTCCCAAAGCTCCGAATCTTCTGTGAAGCTGAGGACTGACTGCCTGGCTCTCAGCCAGCCCAGGGTGCCCGAAAGCTGGGGAGAGGACTGTGACCATGGGTGCGTCTGAGCTAAGAGGACTTGTTAACAAAGGTCTCATGTGCCCCTTACCCTTTCTCCTGGCCTTTCTGACCCCCAGGCAGAACTACAGCTACTACAGCCGATACCCTGGTGGCAGCTGGGACTTTGAGCGGCCCCAAGGCTACCATCACCCCCAAGGCTTCTTGGAGGATGAGGACTCACCCATTTGCTATGATTCCCGGAGATCTCCAAGGAGACGCCTACTACCTCCCACCCCGACATGTGAGGCCAGATTTTTTGTTTTGGGTAAAGCCTCCCAGAGAACAGTGTGACAGGTGTGGTCTCACTGCACTAGGGACAGTCAGTCTATAAGACCAGCAAGACCAGATGGGGTTGGAGACCCCATCAGTATCGGCTTTCCCTTCTGTCTCATCCGTGTCCCACATGATTGAGCTCAAACCACTTCAGCACCATTCTTAACTCTCTGAGCACAGAGGAGGGCAGCATGTGGTCCTGAATGTGCCCAGTACATGCCCTCCGATGAGGGACTTTTTGTGCACATTATCATTGCCTTGGAGCCTGGGGTTCATCACGCGGGGTAGGCGTGATGTGCGGCGTGGGGTTGTCAGGCTCTCTCTGTGGACCGGGTAACTGACCCTCAGAGGGCAGAGGTGCGCAGCCGCTGTGCAGAGCTGGACCTGAGCCCAGGCCTGTCCCACCAACCCCCCCCCCCCCCACTGCACCTCTGAGCCCCCCCCCACCTCCCATCTTCGCCATGTGTCAGCCAGTGCCCTTGCTCATGGAGCAGGTTTCGGGTCAGTGCCCCGATCCTGGGGCTGGAGGAGTCCCATCCTGCTGAGAAGAGGCAGGGGGCCAGCTGTCCCCCACCTGGTTTTCTTATGCAGGTGGCCTAAGTAGGATTGCAGGAAATGTAGCTCACCCCCCAGTGAGGACTTGGGCCGGGGGAAGAAATGAAGCTGTGGCCCCTGCCTGCTCCTGACCGGGCAGGTGGATTTTGCACTTGGGGGCATTTTGGTGATGGTTAAAAGATACCTATTCCTGGTGTTTCTGAGGAATGAAGCATATTTTTGAGCAGGACTCTAATCAGTAACCAAAAATAGCTAAGACACATTGTCTCTGAGTCGGCTGACTCCATGTGCCATAACCAATCCAGTTGGGTGGTGCCTGGGGCCCTCTTCTCTCTCCTGTAGTCACAAACATGCTGGGGGGTCTCACCAGACCCATTTCCACGGTTGATATTTAATTCTGCAGCCCCAGACACATGCTGCCGAACAGAGCAATTCTGAGCTCCCTAAATACTGGGTAAAACATGCAGGTGAGCCTGGCAGAGGCCCCTCGTCCATGGAGTGCTCTGTCCTCCCTGGACCCTCCCTGTGTCCCCTACAGTGGCCACATTAATGCCCACCATTCGGGGCACCACTGAGCGAAGTGAGGAACCAGAGTGGGCCAGAGCAGATGCCCTCTGTATTTGTAAGGGCAAGTCAACCAAACGTATTTTATTTGCTTTGCTGCCCATCACTTCAGACCTTGGGCAGGGGAAGGTGAAGTGTTCCGCCTGTGTTTTCAGCAATGGTGGGATTATCTCCTCTGTCAGAATAGGTTGTGCACAGCCGGTGAGATGATAGGTGTATCCACGGACTGATTTTCAAAACAGCGGCACTACCTGAGTGAGAGAGATGGTGGTTTCCTCTGTGGGCTCCGAGCCCCTGGCCCTGGCCTGCTGCCCCTAGGAGGGTCATGGAGAGTGTGCCGACGGGAGAGGCCCGGCTGTCTCATGAGAACAGCAGCTGTTGTGCAGCTGTGTCCTGCCAGGGTGGGACACCGAGGCAACGGTGGCCCAGCACACCTCCCAGGGGACACCTTAAGCCTGCCTGGCTGGGGCTGCCTGTCTCTTCTACCTGCACTGGGCAGGGCCAGCCAAGGGCTCAGTCTTCTCACACTTTTAGATTAGAGCTCTCCCAGAACCCGGTTCTTGCCAATTCCTGTGATCCCCAGGAAGCCTGGGAGGCTCGCCCCTGCACCTTTCCAGTACAGGAATCGGTGTGGGGTTTTGCTGGGGCATGAGAAATGCCTGGGATCTTAGGAAGCAGGGCTGAAGAGCCCTTGCTCCTGCCTTGCAAACTGTCAGGCCCCCACGCGTGTCTCTAGGGCCAGCACCCTTGAGCGTGGACCTGTTCCCAGGGGACCTCTGGCCTGTGCTTGGGGGCCCAGAATTCGGACTGACCTCCTGGGCCCTGTGTCCCGTTAAGCCACAAATTCGGCATCTCTTGTCCCGGCTGTGCGTGAGCCTCCATTTCGAGGCACTTTTAAAGGTACAGCCATATTCTCTAACATTAGAGGTGTTCTTTTCTGTTTTTGCCTTCAGTGCTACAGAAGCTGGGTCTTCCCCAAAGAAAGATTTTGCTTCTAACCTAGTTGAGCTGATAGCAAGTCACCCCCCTTAAAGCAGGTGTAAGCACGGGAGCACCAGCAAGACGCCAGGCACCCCAGAAACACTTGGGATACCTGCAGGGAGAGAAGAGGGCAGCCCCAGGTGTTCCCAGGATTCGAGAACAACACTGTGTTCTTGACCTGAAATGCTGTGTTCCCCACAGTGTGTGTACTGGGCCGGGGCGTCCAGTCAGAACTGCCCTCCAGAGCCTTGAGCTCCGCCTCGTGAGAACAGGCCCCACGTTTACAAGAATCCAGCTTGCACTAACCAAAAACATCCTCAGTGAGGCAGCTTCTTCATCCTCCCGAGGTTCCGAGACCTCACCCGCTAATGCTTTTCCTGGGACGCATGGCTTGCTTCCTCTGGGGCCCCTAGCTGAGTGTCCAGGGGCCACCCTGAGCCACGGGGGCCCCCCCAGAATGCCGGTTTCACAGCCACTGCTGTGCTTTCTCAGCCCACAGGAGATCCTCCTTCAACTTCGAGTGCCTGCGGCGGCAGAGCAGCCAGGAGGAGGTCCCACCGTCCCCCGCTGTGCCCCGCCGCACAGCCCTGCCTCTGCACCTGATGCAGCAACAGGTGAGCCAGCCCACCTGGCCTGGACCCTACAGGCCTGGGGGCAGCCGGTGCAGGGGCCGCCCTCGGGACACCCCCCTCCCAGCTGCCAGTAGCAGGAGGGAAGGAGAGAGCCTTCACAGACACTCCGGTTCAGTCCAAATAGACGTGGTCATGAGCCCCATTTCACAGATGAGCAAATATCACGGAGAGGGCTGGTGACATGCCTGAGCTCCACAGGAGGTGCGTGACCAGTTGACCTAGAATCCAAGGCTGCCAGCCTCCAAAGCTGGGCCCTGGCCGTGGTGCACACTGTGTTCTCTCCGGGGCCTGGTACAGTCCCTGATGCTTGGAGTGGTGCCCGCTTGCCTGGTCCTGAACCATCAGTGCTGCCCTTTATTTGCTCAGAGACGTTCTTCCTTCATTAAGACACATCTGTAGAGACCTTTGCGGGCAGGGTGCTGGCATCGTGGGTGGGCGAGCCTCCAACCCTGCCTGCAAGGGGAGTGTGTGGTCCAGGGAGAAGGACCCGGCCACAGTGAGGTGGCTGGACAGGAGGGAGCCCAGGGCCTGGAGGGGTGGTGGGGCTGCAGCCCTCTCACCAGGGCTTTGCCTCAAGGGCAAGAATAAGGCACTTTTTCTTTATGCAAAGATCTTGCATGTCAGAGATGCGGTCCACTGCGTACGTGTGTCAGGGGCCGGAGGGCTTGTGGGGAGTCCCCAGCCCATGAACGTGCAAAGCCAGCTCATGCCCAGCTCGCTTACCGCCGACGTCCTGAGCGCGTGAGCACTAGCTTCCATTTCAGGTGTTCTGTTCAGGTCTCTCTGCCAACTTCTTTCTTTTCTGCCTTCAGTTTTTATGTTAATTTTTATTCATGTCCTGCTTTGTTGTGGAAGGACAAAGCATGGGAAGGCCCAGCCCTCAAATGCCATGAACCAAGTAGGCCTGGACGTCGGGGCACGTGCGTGCGAACGCCCCTCCCTCTGCTGTCGGCCCCCACCCCCGCTCCAAGGGCCAGATCCCTGTGTGCACTGCCTCCCTCGGGTGGCTGTGGCTTCTGGCTGTGGCCCTCCGTGCGGAGAGGGAGCGCCGGGGTGGCTGCCCGGGGGCAACCAGAGGCAGGGGAAGCAGCTGGTGCCCAGAGCTACAGAGCAGCCCGGGTACTGGCTGGTGTGGTGAACTGCACTGGAGCGGAGAGAACTGTGCTGCTTCCGAGGGCTGGGGATGACTCGTTTGCCCCATATGTCCTTCTGTATTTAAACCGAGAGAGAACTGGGTGGTGTGTTCATGCGGCCCAGGGAGCATGTCTTCTCTAATTCTCCACTGCTTGGCCACAGTTTCATGAATTAGCAGCTGATGCCTCCTTAGGAACAGGCATGAGAAGTTCATTATGGATTCGGGGAAATGGAAAGCAGTCTGCCAGGAAGCCAGATTTTACTACCTGTGTTCTTTTCACATCCCTGTCTCTTATCCGCGGCCGCCCCGGTGCAGCAGCGCCTCCTGCTTGCTGTGCCTGGGGAGCCCTCGGGCCGCCCCTGAGGATCTCTGGCCCCGCCTCCTGTCGTCTCTCCCCAGATCATGGCAGTTGCAGGCCTGGATTCCAGTAAAGCCCAGAAGGACTCGCCAAGCCACTCAACCCGGTCATGGGCCACTCCTCCGGCAACCCCTCCATACCGGGACTGGACGCCGTGCTATGCACCCCTGATCCAGGTGGAGCGACCGGAGGCCCTGGATCAGGTCAACGGCAGCCTGCCATCCCTGCACCGGAGCTCATGGTACACGGACGAGCCTGGCATCTCGTACCGAACATTCACACCAGCCAGCCTGACCGTCCCCAGCAGCTTCCGCAACAAGAACAGTGACAAGCAGAGGAGTGCAGACAGCCTGGTGGAGGCGGTGAGTGTGTCACGGACGGGCAGGCTCCGGCACAGCAGAGGGGGACAGGCCAGTGCCGTGGCGGTTTTGGGGGTGGGGTGAGGCTCAGGAGTCAAGCTGGGTCCTTCTCCCTCTGGATCACGCCCATTCCTCGGAAGCAAAGATGGTACGTATAGCGCGAGTGTAAGAATACCACCACTGCCCGTTCTAATGGAGCTGGACCTAGGATGACAGGTGTCAGGCCTGCAGATAGCCCTACCTCCTACTGAAACCTTTTCCCTAGTGGGGCTCACTCTCGTTGGGCGATATGTAGTGTTCGAATTCCATGACTTTTCCAAGTCATTCACATTTAACTGTCACATGTGAGGTCTAGCAATCAGGACTGGCAGAGTCCCCAGAGCACATCCTGTGGTTAGTGCCTGAGGGGGCTCCTCTGTCATTTTCCCGGCGGAGCCTTGTAAAGCATTTATGCCATCAATCCTCTATCCCGCACAGGTCCTGATATCTGAAGGCTTAGGACGGTATGCAAGGGACCCAAAATTTGTATCGGCAACAAAACACGAAATAGCCGATGCCTGTGACCTGACCATCGATGAGATGGAGAGTGCAGCCAGCAACCTGCTCAACGGGACTGTGCATCCCCGGGCTAACGGGGGCATGGGCCCCGTCTCCCACCGGCAGGACTATGAACTCCAGGACTTTGGGCCGGGCTACAGCGATGAAGAGCCCGACCCTGGAAGAGATGAGGAGGACCTGGCAGATGAAATGATCTGCATCACCACCCTGTAGCCCCCAGGGAGGGGCGGACTGGCTCTGGCCTCAGGTGGGGTGCCGGAGGGCCAGGGAAAAAGTGCCTCGTAGTTAGGAAAGGTTAGGCACTAGTGTGGAGTCTGTATTCAATTAGACTTTTGTACAAGTGATGTCATGCCTCATGGAAGCCATAAACCTGGTAGGGGATAGCCGTGTACCCATGCCCAGCCCCAGCTGTGGGAAGCAGCAGGTCGAGCCCTCCAGGGGAGGACCTGTGAGGAGGTGGGATAAGCCCTGCCCACTTTTCCAGCACGCCCCTGGGGCTTTCACCTGCACCCACCCACCAGCTGGCACAGTGGGGAAGGTCAAGGTGATGACGATCACCACACCTGTGTCATTACCTCAGCCATCGGTCTAGCATATCAGACATTTACTGGGCCCAGCATATCCATTTTTAAACCCTTTCCCCCCAAATACACTGCTTCCTGGTTTCTGTTTAGCTGTTTGGAAATACAGTGTGTGAATCAGGACCTACCTACCAGCCGTCATCTGGAGAGGGGAGCAGGACCTTATACACAAGGTTTTCTGTTACGTGACCCCGGTTTACAAGAGAGTGTCACTCAGTCGGTTTCTGACTGTCAGCTCAAGGGCAACTGTAAACTGGAATAATCATGCACTCGCAACCAGGTAAACTTAGATACGCTAGTTTGTTTAAAAATTATAGATTACTGTACATGACTTGTAATATACTATAATTTGTATTTGTAAAGAGATGGTCTATATTTTGTAATTATTGTACCGTATTTGAACTGCAGCAATACCCATGGGTCCTAATAATTGTAGTTCCCCACTGAAATTTAGAAATTACTAGCATTTTTACTTGGGCTGTACAGAAGTAGAAGAAACAGAGCCAATTCTCATTTATTCCGTGAAAATCTGGGGATGAAATTTTAAGTTCAAAAGAACTCGGGACTATAGAGATTTTTTCTAAAAATATTTGGAGTCACTCTAAATCTACCTTTACACAAGATATACCAGATGATGATTTACAGCCTTTGCTTTGGGCAAGAATTCTGGGATTTGATAGTGTACCTTTGGTCCACCATGGGTCGCAGCGGTCTGTGACTTTACTGAGCCTCCGATAAGCTCATCCTGTCGGTCAAGCCGGTTACTCTGACCCTGTGGCATTCACAGCGGCACCTCTGCTGCCCCCACAAGACCTCTTTGGCATCTCTGGTGTCGAAATGATGGCACAGGTGGATGGAGTTCCTCTGCTCTTGCTCCCTGAGGATGGCTGCTGCTCCTTGTCCTGAACAGGGGTGCTGGGGGGGGGGGGGGGCGGGGGGGCAAAAAAATCTGCAGGATTAGAACGCTGGGTCTGTCCGGGTCGTATTGTTGCCTTTTTACACAACACTGCTGTACTGTGTGTTCTCTTTGAGGGCTTTTATATGCAACTGAATGAGGGCTGAAGTTTTCATTAGAACGTACTCACACTCCGGTTGTACTGCCTGATGAAAACCCACTTTTGGACCACGAGACCCACCAAGGCTTCCTTTTCTGTTCAAGGAATCATGCCGACTTTGTCGTTACCTTGGCAGGGATTCCCTGCGGTCAAAAAAAAAAAAAAAAGACAATTATCAGTTTTTGGTTCAAAATTTTTAAATATTACCTAGACAACCTGTTAATATTTTGGGTTTGTTTTTCGTTTTTTTTTGTAAATAATACTTTGTTATGAAGACCTTACAAACCTCTTCTTAAGACATTCTTACTCCAGATCCAGGCAAAAACACTTCAAGGTTTGTAAATGACTATTTCCTGACATAAATTTTTTTTAATTAAAATGCAAAATGTTCTTCAGAATAAAACCGTGTAATAATTTTTATCGTATGAGGGAGCACTCACTGCAAAGAGCCGCTGTGGGCCGGTGAGCTCTGCAGAAGGGGGGGGAACACTCGGTGAGGGCAGTCCTGGGACGGTGTAACTGCTATCCTCACGGCTCCCTCCTTGATGCCCACGGTCACTCAGCACTGGCTACAGAGAGCACTGTTCCTCCTAAAGGGCTAAGCCATCGTCCCCATCACCTCTGCTGGGCACTGTTCTCACTGTGTGGCTTCTCAGCAGCAGCCCTACCAGGATGGGGTTTTCTGGTGCAGGCCACCATCTTGCCCCATCAGGACTCACAAAGTGGCCTGCAGACAGGCTGCACCAGTCCTAACAGGCCCGCGTTAAGTCTGGTCCAACCTCCCATCTACCATGAAATTGTTCTTTGTGAGAAGTTTGAAGTTACTGAACCATGTGGTGGTGGTGGTGTGTACCCTTTGCTTCGGGAAAGTTTTAAGATGAAATGTTTCTTCTTTTTGGCCCCCTCCCCCTAAAAAAGGTTATTTTGTTGTATCCCCAGGAATAGTGGATTTGGTTTTGTGTTTTTCATACCACAAATGGAAAGGGCAGCTCCGCTTGAACTTCCAACCAGCAGGAACCTCATTAACAGCTCTTTCTCCTATTTCCATCCAGGCAGCTGGGCCAGATGGGGCTTTGCGGCTCTATTCCCACATTTTGGAGCCTGCCAGAGGCCAGGAAGCTTCTCGGTACACAGTGTGGGCTTTACTTGCCTCACTGCTGACCCCATGTCTGTGAAAGGAACCAGGGCACTCTACTTCAAATTGTTTATATGTTATGGTCTTCAGTGTCTTTGCCAGTTGTGTTTCCTTACCAAGGTTTCCCCTGTTGTGATCGGCTGCAGGTTTGTTCTAAAAACTGGTCAGCAACAGAGCTCCAGCTCCTTCCCTGACTCAGAAACAGACACCTCCGAGGCTTACATGTGTTGACAGTTTTTATTTCTCCAAAAGGATATGCCTTCTTTCCTGGGGACGTGAGAGGGCAGGAGAATGGGTAGCAGGCCCGGGGCCCCTGCCTCCAACGCGGGAGCATCGTCTGAGAGTGGCCTCGCAGGCACCCTGTGGGGACGGCAGCAGGAGAAAGGACCGGGGAGGCTGCCCGGCTCCCAACACAAGGCTGGTGGAGAGAGCTTGCGTTTTCTTCTGGTTTAAGAAAAAAGGATGTAGGTATTAGAGCTGATGTTAAGTTGGTGGAAACAGGAAACAGCCTTTGTGGGGAGGAACAGGGTTTGGCTGGAGATGAGGCTCTTTTGAATTTATGGAAATGAGGATTCCCACAGTTGGCCCTGGAAGCAGAAGGACGGCGCATCCAGGTGCCAGGATCTGGCTTCCAGGACCTGCCATTTCCTGGTTCTGAGCCGCAGAAGAGGCGGGCTGTTCCTCGCCTGTGCCTTCTGTCCGCGGTTGGACCAGGAAGAACCTTCTGCTCGTGCAGCAGCTGGAACACACAGGCTTCTTTGAAGGGATCCGTGCTCAGAGCCTGATCCAGGTACATACACAACTCTGTTATACTTTTTCAACCATTGTTTACAGAGTACTTCTGGCTGTTAGTATCACAAGCTCTTTGCTAAGGGGCTTAACTAAGCTTCCTCCCAGGACCGAGGGCCGGCCTGGTGTCTGGGTGCCCTGAGAGCTGCCTGGCCCAATGGGCACTCTCCTCCCCTCTCTGGCTTCCTCAGCCAACAGCCCTCTTTCTGAGGTCCAGGCTTCCCTCACGGCACTGGGACGTGGAGACAGCCCGCTGTTGCGGCACAGGCCACAGTTCCCCTCTGCCAGGTGGCTGCCCTTCACCTGTCAGGGCTCCAGCAAGCAGCCACCCAAGCCCAATATTCTGCCCTGTGGCTGAACCCCAGCAGCACAGCATTCCGCTCGGACTTCCATGGGGCCTGGGTATGGAACACGCACCGTCTTCTCTGAGACTGACTTCTCCACGTGGCTAATTATGTGATCCTATGGAACAAGGCTCAGTGGCCAAGAGTGGGGGAGGGGCCCAGATGTCATCCGGCCGTACAGCTTGTCACACCTCCTCCGACAGGTCATTCTGCTTGTGTGATGATGCAGACGCAGTAGCAAACCAGCCCCTGTCCCGGAGACTGACACCACCACAGCACGCAGAGAGATGGCGGAAAGGCATGGCTGGGCCACGTGGCCTACCCACACTGGAGAAGGTCCACATGGTCACGCTCAGGCCTGGGACCCCTCCACCCACTGAACTTGCTACTCGCTGGCCCTCTGAGCAGGGGGGTTGGCTCCCACACTGCCCCACTGTTCTTTCATCCCTGCAAGTGGCTCGGGGACCCCGAGGATGGTGGCTGTGGACCACGGCTGTGGGGCAGATGGGGAACCTTTCTAGGAGAAATCTCTTGGCCGACTTAGACCCTCCCCTGGAACAGAAAATAAAGCAAGAGGCAGGTAAGAGGAAACCAGAGCTCCTTTAAATTTGTAAGGGAAGGAGAGGTGTGATGGTTTTCTTCTTCCCATCTTTCTGGAAGGTCTTTCTCACAAACACAAGTTGTGGCTGTCCAGCCTCCAAGCTATCTCAGTCTACTCTGATCCTGGGGAAAGGCTGGAATGCCCCCTTTCCCTCCCCTCCTTGTTCGGGGCAGGTTTCCAGAGCACAAGTCTTTTCTCCCCTGCTGCAGATGGTGGCTTTGGAAATCTTCAGAAAAATCCATCCAAAATGCATTTATTTTTCATTATCTACTAAGAACAGTCTGGCCAAGGCATCTCCATTCAAAGGTCGGTTACTGGATTACATGATTGAATTATAGGAAGTTTAAAGATCAAAGAACTATTTTAAATGCTACTTGTATCTCGTTTCCCCCACCAAACTCAAATCTTTGCCAATTTATTTTCATGGGATCAGGTGTATAATGTGATTCGACTGCTTCTTCCATCAGCCTCCGCTCGATCCCTGTCTGCTCCCGTGGACGGCTGCCGAATACGAATTAGCCAGCTTTGCCCACGGCGGGTCATCTCCCCAGACTGACAGGAAAGCATCCTCTTGGGCTGGCCGCTTTGGCTTGGAGCAGCGGTCTGGTCTGTCGGGTTTGCTCTAGGTTTCTAGGTTTCCCTGGTAACAGGAAAATAGTTTAAAATGCTAAATGAGGAAACCTATGGTAATAAAGAGACTCTCCAGACTCTTCTCTGAATAAGGTCCAGAAATCGGGCTGTGATTAATAAGAACCAGAGTACTGGAGAGGTGGGCCTCAGAGTGACCCAACTGGGAGGGGACACGAGAAGCAGAAGAGAAAGAAGCCTGTGTTTCTTCAGGCAGGCGGCTTTCTTTCTGAACGGAGATGCTGGAGGCTTAGGCACAGGCCTCAGCAGCTGGCGGCCTGAGGCCTATGCCTCCCGTGCCGTCCAGCCTGCACCCAGCCTCTGCGCAAAGCACCCTGCTCCCAGAGTGTCTTGCCTTAATTAAGAGGGAGGCCCGGGAGAGAACCACTTCCTTTAAATCTGAGCAGGACCCAGGGTTGCAGAGTGCCATGGAGTATAAGATAAGGCCGTGGCTGGAGTTAGCCATCCTCCTCCACTGGCCAGACCCCTTCCCCAGTCCCTTTTACTGCCCCTTCAGGAGGTTGGGGGGCAGCCTGCAGAAAAGTGCTGGGGAAAAGGAACCTGCTTCGCTGCCTGATACTGGTCTCCCAGCCTAAGAAATTTCGCATTCTCAGCCACTGAACTGTAACATTCTAGACAGTTTCAGGAAAGGGCACAGGGGACAGGGGCTGTGCTGACCCTCTTGGCTTGGCAGGAGGCTTCTTGGGCAGGGACCACCTAGCGCTGGGTGGCCAGGGTCCCAGGCTTGTAGACAGGGACGTCCTTGTCCCAGAGTGCAGGCTGCCCCTTGATGATGTCTGCTGCTTTCTCTGCGATCATGATGGTGGGGGCGTTCAGGTTGCCACTGACCACGCTGGGCATGATGGAAGCGTCGACCACCCTGAGGTTCTGCACCCCAAGCACCCTGGTCTGTGGATCCACCACAGCCATGGGATCAGAGGGCTGGCCCATCTTGCAGGTGCACGAGGGGTGGTAGGCGCTGTCGGCCTTCGCCCTCACGAAGGCATCAATCTCCTCATCTGACTGCACGTTGCTTCCTGGCTGGAGCTCCTTCCCCCGGAACGGCGCCAGGGCTTTCTGGGCAAAAATTTCTCTGGTCAGCTTCACACACTGTCGCAAGTCGTTAATGTCGGTTTCTGTCAACGAGAAGAGGTAGGTGAGGCGACTCCTCCTACCAGAGGATTCTGAACTCGGAGAGGCTCGGTAAGCTGCCCGAGGGGACACAGGTCAGTGCCTACCACCCTCTGATCCCACAGCCGTGGTGGACCCATAGACCACGGTGCTGGGGGAAAACGTCAGGGACACAGAGCCACCAGGTGGTTTGTCACCTATTCCCAGCCAGTTTTACTGCCACCAAGCAGAGTCTCACGATGGCAAACAGGCAGCACCCTCAGTGGACACAGCCTGCCTCTTGCCATCATGGCTGTGCACACACTGCGAGTCATGACTGAGCGACAGGGAGAGCTCCTTTGCGCTTCGGGCAGGGGCAGGCCCGGGAATGTAATCTCTTCCCGGAGGGCGCTCAAAGTGACGGCGGCGCAACTGCTCTGTGGGCTCTGCGCGTACAGCCAGATCTCCTTGCATCTTCGGGTAGACTGTTCTGAAAGCTGCAGCGCTCCCCTGCTGTGTCAAAGGACATCCCAAGGTTTCTTCAAGTGACCCAGGGCACACACAGCCGTGTGGATAGCCCAGAGGGAGGGGGGCAGAGGGCAGCTTGTGTCTCAGGGGTAAGATTCAGGCACCAATGCGAACCCCATAAAGGCATTCAATCATTCGTTGAATGAATGGCCTGGCAAGTACAGGCCTGGGGGAGACCAAGAGGGTGGTGAATTACCTGTTGACAGGTAGTTGGGCTGAATCACAGGGTGGTCCTGGGGGTTGGCACTTCTCAGTTTAAGCCATCCCACACTCGTGCCCCGCATGGTCCCCACATGCACCTAGAAGAACCGGAGGGAGCAGGACCTCCTTCAACCTCCCGACTCGGCAGCTTAGGCCCCAGGGTTTCCCGTGGTTTGGGGCTCCACATCCAAAGCCCATTAAGGGCAGACACTTTAATCATCTGTCTGCGTCTTACCCCTACCCCCCTTCCACAAGTGATCACAAAAACACCTCCCTCAATCACTCCTGCTTCCTGGCTTTCTACCTGGTTGTCTTCAACTTTCAAGAGCTGGAACCCCCAGGTGCTGGCCACTTCTGTCCATTTCCAGCAGTCTGGATCCCTAAAGCATCTGACCTGAGCTGAGGCAGGTCTCACCTTTCCACGTACCACATGGACTGCCTCACGCTGTTCCTGCATGGCCTCGGGAAGATTCCAGGCTCCTCCTCTCCCTCCCCCACTAGGACCCATTGGGCAGCTGGCGGGCAGAACACAAGCTCCTGTGCCTCCCCTCCAAGGGCCCTGCTGCAGTAAGGACACTGCTGCCCGCTCACCTGGTAAGCCTCCTGCTGGGTGGGGACCCGGCCATGGTCTATCACTTGGGACGGCAGGAAATGGAACTGGATGTCAGGGTGGGGGACCCCAGGCCGGCTCCGGATGAACCCACCTGTTTCCAGGTGCGCCGTGGTCCCATCCCCTGAGGACCAGAAGAGGACGAGGCAGCTGAGTGAGTCAGGGTGGGACAGGTACGCTGGCCTCCCCTCTCCTCGGCCCTCCTCCTGGCCCTGTCCTGGCGCCGGGACCGAGTGCTCAGCGCTGGCATCTCTCCCTCAGGTGGGTGAGCCCAGCACCACAGGTTCCAGTATCTGCTCACGCCAAGGGGCTTTGGCTTTGCCCTCCCCCAGACTCCTCCACCACCAAAACCTGTGAGGCCTGGTGTCACTGGGATCTCCCAACTTCTCCTGCCCTCTCCACCCCGACACGCTGTTCTTTCACCTAAGGTCTAAGTCAGACATTCCAGCTGTCCCTGCCATCCCCTCTGCCCCTTCCTCCTTGCGCCACATCTGGCCCTTGAAAGCCTCCCTGACTTCAGCTCACAAATCTACTGGGATCCGTCTACCCGGCAGTAGCACCCCACCCCTCCCTCGGTCCCAACTCAGACCCTCCTCACAGGCAGCTGCTGGGGCATCCCTGCGGTGCCCCCACTTGCCCTCAAGATTCCCGCATCTTCATCGCACCCTGCTCCCTCCTCCATGTGCTGCAGTCTCCCTGGCCCAGTGTCTCTGTTCCTCCAACGCTGGACGCCTAGACCCGGGGCCTTTGTGCGTCTCCCTGCCTCTCAGCCTCCACTTCACGGACACCCGGATCATAGAACTTAAGCTTGTTCACACGGTCTCTTTCCACAGATCCCAGCAGCATGCAAGCTCCCTGGGGGCACCTGCCTTCCTGACACAGCACAGAGCACCTGGGAGTGTGTGAGAAACCCACGCTGAGGGGGATCTCCAAGCACCACTTCCTGGCCCGGCCAGTACACTGGGACTGGGAACTGGTGAGAAATGGATGCTGACTGTGCCTTTTCTCCTGGCTCCTTGGACCCCAGATGGTGTCCGGCGCACAAGGCCACCCTGTCCATATGTAAGGAAGAGGGGCACCCGGGCTCTGAGGAATCTGACCCAGGACTGGCCCTGGGCTGCTGCATCTGGTCCTCACGACAGCCTGCCAGACAGGTCTCTGTATCCCCATTTTGCAGATGGGAAAGCTGAGGCAAAGGGCAGAACTAAGCTTGAAATAAGTGACTTGAGACCAGAGCTGCCTCTCACAGCACCTTAGGGAGGAGGCCATGCTGCCTCCAGACCAGCACGCCCACCTGTGAACTTCCAGAGCCACTCCAGACCAATCCGGACTTTCCTCAAGGGCTTCTGGGCCGAGTGCAGGGTGATGGGGCGGGTGCACGCCTGCTGGATGTACACCTCCAGGTGGTCTTGCAGGTTCTGGCCCACCCCTGGAATGGGAGCGAGGGGCTAGGGAGAATGGCTTCTCAGGGTGGCTTGCCTGCCACCGGCCTCTCAACATCCCCTGGTTTTGAAAAGTGCCCTCAGCCCCATCCATTTATCTGCCAAGCCAGCTCCTGCTCCTTCCCTGGGTCTCCGCTTAAAAGGTCATCTCCAGGGACTCCATCCCTATGCTCAAAGCCAATCTCCGCTTTTCGGGCTGCCAAAGCCACCTGCCCTTGTCACTCACTCCCAGAGCAGCCTCTGGAACCATCCCGATGCCATCCTGCCAGGGAGCACCCTCCCCAAGGGCAGGCCCGGGCATTCAGCAGGCGCCACCTGTACCCCTGGCCGGGGGAAGGAGGGGTCCAGCCTTGCTGAGCTGGGCAGACACTGTGTGAGCTCATCTGAGCACATGCGGACACAGGGCAGGCCACTATCCCAGCATTCTGACGGACCTCTCACTAGGAAGCCTCTGTGCAAAAAAGGTCATTTCTGGGGAGGTTGGGTTCTAAGAGAGGTGAGAGCCCCTAATGGGTATCAAAGACTGTAAGTGCAATTTTCGGCCCGTGGTAATTGTCTCAGCATGAAAAGCATGCCCCAGAGCACCGAGCCGGCATTTTTAACATCAGGACTGCTGGACTTAAAACCAAGGCCCCAACCCCTATCACCGCAGGGCTGCCCTGGGGACGGAGCCGAGCCTGGCCCAGCGGGCTTCGCAGGCCATGCTCCCTGGTGGAGGGGCATAACCTCCAGGGGCACAGGAGGGCCAAGGAGGGGGGAAAAAATGACAGACTTGGGGTCTTTGGTGGGGGGTAGGGGTGTCCATTGAGGCTCGTAGGAAGAACTGTTGTCCCCACCCCACTCCACGCTAACAAACTCCACTAAGCCCTTTTTTTTTTTTTTTTTAGCAGGGGCCCGTCTGAGGAGCGGGGAGAAGGGAACCCACCGGGCAGGTGGCACACCACCGGGATGCCCAGCTTGCGGAGATCATCTGCATCGCCGACGCCCGAGAGCATGAGCAGCTGTGGAGAGTTGATGGCTCCCCCGCTCAGAATCACCTCCGCGCCTGCGTAAACCTGGAAGACACACCAGTCACAGTTCCCACAAAACCAGGCAGCACCCCGAGAACGCGGCCTCGGAGCCCAGTCCCACGCCAAGGACGCTCAGCCGGCCACTCTAGGAGAGCCCTGCGCAGGCGCAGCTCCGACACGACCCGCCCTGTGACAGCCAGGCTGTCACGATGGTCTTAAAACACCGGAGCACGGAGCTTCAGTGACCAGTGACATCCATGGAAGCGAGCACGTGCAGGCGGTGTGAACCCAGCAGCAGTGAGCCCGCCCTTCCCGCAGCCCGATCCTGACGCACTACGGGGCAGGAAACAGTGGTGTGCAACAGGGAGTAGGTTCACGTTTGTGGTTATTAAAGTCTTACTAAAATCAGCGATTTCTGAAAAGGTACGGAAGGAACCGGGGGGCTGCTCTGGTAGGAGGGGCAGATGCTCACAGGGACCACGACAGGCTCTCCGCATGTGGCTGGCCTGACAGCTCCCTGCTGGCCGGGCGGCCACCTCCCCCAAGGCCCTAGGGATCAGAGCCTGATCGCTACCCACACTGAACACCAGCCCCAGGGGGGACCACTTGTCCCCCTCCACGTGCGCGGCCCCAGTCTGGCAGGAACTCACTCACCCTGTGGCTCTGGCCGTTCTTGATGTACTCCACACCCACGGCGCGGGTGCCCTCAAACAGCACCCTGCTCACAAGTGTCTGCGTCTCAGCCATGAGGTTGGGGCGGCCCAGTGCCGGGTGCAGGTACGCGCACGCGGCGCTCCAGCGCTTGCCTGCAGGACAGAGCCAGGACATCGGGCACAGCTCCTGTCCCCCTTTCCAGCTCCTGCACAGGGAAAGGGGCTGACCTTCCCCAAATACTGAGCTCTGCCTCAGAAGGAAGGCTGAGACTACAAGTCCCTGCTGGACTGAAGTCCACATCCATTAGCGGTGGGAAAACCTCTTCCGCTCTGGACAGGATGACAGACCGGGAGCAGCTAATAATGGGGTGAGAACCCTTTGGAGCCAGGCAGGAGCCCTGGATCAACCCAGGCCTTGCCTCGGTCCTGCTGTGAGCAAGGCACTGTGGTGCCCTGTGCCTCGGTTTCCTCATCTACAAGTCTCTTCCACCTTTGGGCTCTTTGGGCAGAGTTGACTCCAAGACAACAGAGGCCAGAGGCCTAGAGAACGCCCAAGAGTCTCTGTCTCCAAATCGTTTCCCACTGGCTGTGGGCTGTATCCTGTGGCCTCAGTCGTGCGATGCCTTGGTTGTCTGGGCCTCCTCCGAGCCCCTGTTTACCCTCACTGACCACAGTGAGGGCAGGAGGGATGGAGCTGTGCTGGAGGGTAGCTTCCTTTATTTTAAAAAGGGGAAGAGGCAGACCCAGGGAGCCTCGGGATGGGAGCCCGCCCTACCTTGGTGGATGGTCATGTCCATCCATCCGAAGCCTTCTTGCTGGAAGCCGTTCATGTCCTCGGTGAGCGGGTAGCCGGCCTGCTGTGCCGCCTCCAGGAAGGCGTGGTGCAGCGGGTGGTTGGTCCTGCCCCGGGACACGTGCAGCGGGCCCTGGCCGCCGCGGTACGTGCCGGCGCCCAGCTCATGGCTCTGCGCCTTGCGGAAGTAGGGCAGGCAGTGCGCGTAGTCCCAGCCCGCGGCGCCTTCCCGCTGCCAGCGGTTGTAGTCTTCCGCGTGGCCGCGGATGTAGACCATGGCGTTGAGCGACGACGAGCCCCCCCAGACCCGGCCGCGCGGCCAGTATAGCACCCGGCCGTCGAGGCCCGGCTGCGGCTCCGTGTGGTAGCACCAGTTGTACCTGTCATCGCACAGGTTGGCCACAAGGGCCGCGGGCATGTGGATCTTCCACAAGAGCCGCTTGCTCCCCGCCAGCACGTCCTTGGGCCCGGCCTCCAGCAGCAGCACGCGCTTGTCGGGGTCCTCGGTGAGCCGCCGGGCCAGCACGCAGCCCGCGGAGCCCGCACCCACCACCACGTGACTGTATTCGTCCCCGCTCCGGGAGCCCACGCTGGCCAGCGCGCGGACGCTGGGGGGCCGCTTCCGCCCCTCGGCTCCCCAGGGGCCCAGGCACCCTACCCTCCAGCCTCGTGGGACACGCCACATGCTTCTAGCCCAGGTCCTCGCACATCCACCAAGAGGAAAGCAATGAATCACGTTCCTAAAATAGGAAAAGCAGCTTTAGAAGTTTAACTCGGCATGCACATTGCAGGACTGGCTGGCAGGACCCTGCACTGGGGAACTAGGAGGAGGGAGCCCTACTGGGAGGTCCATGCCAGGACTCCTATGTACAGGGCTGGAGGCACAGGGGCTCCTCCCGAAACTTGGGAGGAGGGGTGGTCCCCAGAGAGGCTTCTCATTGACAGGTGTAGGTGAACCCAGAGGCTAGGCAGGTGTCTGGCTGCTGGAGTGCAGGGGAGGTCAGGGCTTTCTGGGCTTTGCAATCAATGCTCATCCCTTTAAGATGGCTGTTGAGCCCCTACCTCATGCCAGGCACCATTTCATCTCTAGCAATACCCAGAGAACAAGACATCTGCCCTCAAAGTGGATGGTCTGGGGCCCGGGAGACAGAGGAGACTTAAGTAACTGAAGGAAGGTCAAGGTCTGAGGCTCCAGGCTGCCAAGCTCAGAGCCTGTGGCCTGAGGGCCACGGGGGGAGCTAGAAGGCTTTTCAGCAGGGCTGGGGCAGAGCTACAGTCTTCAGAGATCTCTGTAGGGTGCTGGAGTTTGAACAACACAATGCCGATAGCTTTTGGAGCTGCCTTTCTCAACAATGTGCAAATGAATCCCAACAATGCTCATTGCACAGGGGTGGAAAAGAACCAGTATATTCCACTCTCCTGACAAAAGCACATCTGAGAAAGCCCCATGTATAAGGTTCAGGCGCACAGGACTGACTCCACAAGAGACAGCCAAGGAACGTCAAGACCCCCCTGCCCCATCCGCCAGCCCGCCCCAGTCCAGCAGCAGCCTAGCCTGCAGGGGGGCTAGGAGATGAGTGTAGACAAGGACCCCATCCCCCTTCATGTGGGCACACGAGAAAGCAGCCCCAGGCCCTCCTGAAAGCAGGAACACAGAAGAGCCTTCCAGCACTCCGGGCCCCATACTAGTGCGAGGGAGCCGTGCCCATCACTCAGCTGGGCTGGCTCGACACTCCACACTCACGACCTGGTAGAATAAATAGCATGACCTTTCTAGGCATAAATACTGTTTGCCTCAGTCACTACTATCCTGTTACACACAATGTCCTGCATTCAGTAAAAATTTGGGAGATACAGAGGAAGAGCAGGGGAAGGTGGAGGAGGACGACCCTGAGCTCACCTTCTTGCACAGACACACGGGGGCAGTGAGGACACACAGTGCAGCCTACTCTGAAAACCACCCGAAGACTGGCAGAGTGACTATTCCACAGCTAAAACCATAAAGAGAAGACCCCCTCAAGAAGGGGCAGAGAGGTCGTCAGGGACCAATACCCTGGCACTGCGGTGGGTTTCCCGCCACAAGGAGAAGATTGTCACAAGCACCGCGGTCCTCCCTGAGGAGCCAGGGACCAAACCTCACATGGGGCATCCCCCATCCTGGGGAGGGATCTGCACTGGGAAGATAAGCCCCCATGATGTCTGGCTTTGAAAATCCATGAGGTTGAACTCTGGGAGAGCTGGAGGGCCAAAGGAAACCAAGAGTCCACCTTTAAAGGGCCAGCGTGCCGTATCCCTCTGTCTCAGCGCGGGAACAGCAGTTGGAAGAGCACCTAGCTTATACATGAAGATTTACCGACTACCTTTAGCATGTTTGCTGAGCTGGCAGGGATCTGCAGATTTTTCCAGGTACAGAAGTGCTGGTGATGCCCCTTTTCTCACCCTCCTTCAGCCTGCTGGATGTGCGGGAGCCACTTCTGATACTTCCTCTACCTTGATGGCATTGCTTGCCCCCCACCACCAGCATTCCCCTGGAGACCCACACCACTCAGCCCATCTGTCTTAGCACGTATCCTCCAAAGTGGCTCCTGTCCCAGCACTCCCAGCAGGTGGCCTCGGCTGGGACTGGCACCTCTCCAAAGTGACTCTTGCCTTGGGGAAGCAGAGAGCCAGCACCATACCTGCAGTGGCTACAGCTAGGCCCTTCAGCCAGCTGTGCCAGGAGCTAACCCCATACACCAGCATACCTCCAGCAGCTACACTGGGTTTTCTTAGCCAGCTGTACCGGGTCTAAGCCAGCCCAGCTCACCAGTGTGCCTGCTGCAGTCACAGCTGGTCACTGTAGCCAGCAGGGCTGGCCCATCTGTGCACCTGCAAGCAGCTATGGCCAGGCCACTCAGGCGGCCACACAAGTTGTGGCCAATCACAACAGGAAGGTACAAACAGCCCACACAAGGGACACCCCCTGAGTGCCTGGTTCTGGTGAGCAGGGGAGATTGCACTACTGGGTCCTATAGGTGCCTTCTACAAAAGGTCCTACTGAATACACAGAAGCCAACAGAGTCAGACATAATGAAGATACAGAAGAATGTACTCCAAACCAAAGAAGATGACAGGACCTCAGAAAAAGAACTAAGCAAAGAACTAAGATCGGCAATCTACCTGCTGAAGAGTTCAAAGTAACAGTCATAGGATGCTCACTGAGAAGAGTGGGTGAGCTCAGAGACAATGTCAACAAAGAGAAAATACAAAAAGGCACAAATCAGAGCAGAATAATCACTGAAAAATACAATAGAGGAAATCAACTGCAGATTAGAGGATGCAAAAGAACAGATCAGCAATCTGGAAGACAAGGTAGTGGAAAGCACCCACGCTAAACAGCAAAAAGAAAAAGAATTTTAAAAATGAGGATAGATTAATGGATGTCTGAAACAACATCAAGTATACCAACAGTCACATTAGAGGGGTGCCCGAGGGGCACCTGGGTGGCTCGGTGGGTTAAAGCCTCTGCCTTTGGCTCAGATCATGATCCCAGGGTCCTGGGATCAAGCCCCAGGTCGGGCTCTCTGCTCAGCAGGGAGCCTGCTTCCCTTCCTCTCTCTCTGCCTGCCTTTCTGCCTACTTGTGATCCCTGGTCTGTCAAATAAATAAATAAAATCTTTATTTAAAAAGGGGAAGGGGTGCCTGAAAGAGAAGAGACAATGGGGCAGAAGACTTATTTGAAGAAATAATAGCTGAAAAGTTCCCTAACTTGGGGAAGAAAACAGACATCCAAGGTCCAGGAAGCACAAAAAGTCCCTAATGAGGTGCAGCCAGGATGTCCATATGAAGGCACATAATAACTGAAATGGCAAAAATTAAAGAGAATCATAAATGCAGGAAAAGAAAAATAGTTACATAAAAGGAGAAATCCCACAAAGCTATTACCAGATTTTTCAGCAGAAACTTTGCAGGAAGAAGGGAGTGACATGATATTTTCAGAGTGTTGAAAGGAAAAACCTACAACCAAGAATACTCTATCCGGCAAGATTATTGTTCAGAATTAAAGGAGAATTGGTTTCTCAGGCAAATAAAAGTTGAAAATGTTCATCACCTCTAGGCCAACCTTGTTAAAGGGATCTCTTTAGGAGGAAAATAAAAGGTCATAACTAGAAGAATATTATAAAAGGAAACTATCACTGGTAAAAGCAAACAGGTAGTAGATTAATCACTTATAAAGCTAGTATGAAGGTAAAAGACAAAATTAATAAAATTAGATCTACAAAAATTAAGGGATACACAAAGAGATATAAAATACAATGTCATATATACTAAAACATGGAGGAGGGGAGTAAAAATGTAGTAATTTCAGAATATGTTCTAAGTTAAGTGACCACCAACTTAGTACAGATTGTTACATACATAGGATGTTATATATAAGCCTTACGTAACCACAAACCAAAAATGTATAATAAGTACACAAAAATAAGCACAAAGGCATCTAAGTATAACACTAAAAAAGTCATCAAATTACAAGGGAAGAGAGCAAGAGAAGAAAGGAAGAGAGAACTACCAAAACAACCAGAAAATAATTGACAAAGTGGCAACAAGTGCACACCTATCAATAATTACTTTAAATGTAAATGTGTAAATGCTTCAATGAAAAGGTACAAGATGACTGAATGGGTCAAAAGCATAAGACCCATCCACTCGCTATCTACAACAGACTCGCTTCAGACCTAAAGACCCGTGCAGACTAAAAGTGAACGGGTGGAAAAAGGTATTTCATGAGAATGGAAGAAGAGAGAGAGAGAAAGAGAGAGGAGAGGAGAGGAAAGGAAGGAAGGAAGGAAGGGAAAAAGCCGGGGCAGCAGTACTTCCGTTAGACAAAATAGACTTTAAAACAAGGACTGTAACAAGAGAAAGCATTATTTAGTGACAAAGGGATCAATCCAACAAGAGAATATAACAATATCTAAGCATGATATAGGAGGACCTAAATATATGAAACATATTAAAGAGGGAGAAACTGATAGTAATGCCATAATAATAGAGGACTTTACAATCCCACTTACACCAATGGAGAGATCATCCATGCAAAAGACCAATAAGGAAACAGTGGTTTTTTTTTTTTTTAATTTTAAAGATTTTATTTAGTTGACAGAGACAAAGCGAGAGAGGAAACACAAGCGGGGAGTGGGAAAGGGAGAAGCAGGTTTCCCGCCAAGCAGGGAGCCCCATGCGGGGCTTGATCCCAGGACCCTGGGACCCTGACCTGAGCCTAAGGCAGACGCCCAATGACTGAGCCACCCAGGCACCCCAGGAAAGTGGTTTTTAGTGGCACATTAGACCAGATAGACTTAACAGATATATACAGAACATTCCATCCAAAACCAACAGAATACACATTCTTTTCAGGTGCACATGGAATGTTCTCCAAGACAGTTCTCACATTAGGCCACAAAATAAGTTTCAATAGGGGTGCCTGGGTGGCTCAGTGGGTTAAAGCCTCTGCCTTCGGCTCAGGTCATGATCTCAGGGTCCTGGGATCGAGCCCCGCATCGGGCTCTCTGCTCAGCGGGGAGCCGCTTCCCCCTCTATCTATGCCTGCCTCTCTGCCTACTTGTGATCTCTCTGTGTCAAATAAATAAATAAAATTAAAAAAAAATAAGTTTCAATAAATTAAAGAAGATTAAAACCCTATCAAGCATCTTTTCTAACCATGATGGTATGACACTAGAAATCAATTACAAGAAAAGTCTGG